ATGTTACCGCAATACTTAATTTAACGGTGCTATAATTCCTTTTTACTGATATGGCAGGCCAATTGCTCCCCCCCCCCTTCCTTGAAGTATAAAACAACCTTGTAAAGTTTCCTTGAAGTATAAATCTTCCTTGAAAGATATACAAACGAACAATAAAATAATTTAAACATCAAAACTCAGAAATGCTCAATAATAAAATTACAAAAACAGAAAACCAGTTGAGGTTTAGGTTAAAAAAAATCTCTGCGGATCATAAATCTCTAATAGCCTAGAGAACATAAAAGTAAAAAAAATTTTTAGTTAATTAATCCAATTTTATTGTTTATATTAATATAAACATGGATAATATTAATAATTGCCTATTAATATATAGGTATGGAGAACTCTTTAAAAAACATCAGAGAGCTCTAGGCGTGGTACACTTTTTATTATTTCCCGGTTTTACTCATATTCTTTAAATGAGTGCTAAATTCTTGAAATCCGACCTCAGATTCGTATTCCTCGTTAAAAATCAGTCTAGATTGATGTATCATAAGTCTAAATCGAGCGTGGGAAAGTTCTTCCTCAAGGGGTAAACTGATTCCGCGAGTGCAGCGTGGGTGGTCCTCCTAGTACGGAATGTAGGTCAGAAGGAGAAGGAATGTTAGCGCCGGCCGGCGCTAGCGCGGAATTCTTCGAAGGCGGCGCGGCACAAAGAGATGGCGGTCGGGCTCGTTCGTCGCCAGACTGATCGGCGGCAAGACGAGGCCTATATTGGGGAGAGGGGAGGCAGCGGTTGCTGCGAGGATGGCGACGAGTGAGGCAAATTGGTAATTTTGCCGCTAGGTAGCGTGATTTCATTAAAGTTAAGTCAAAATACTGTCTAAAAAATTTAACTTACTTAATTGAGGAGGAAAAAAAAGTCTTGGGTCTCCTCAAAACATAAAACAAAGTAATCAACTTTTGAGGTTTAAATAACACATTAAAGCTTATTGTAAAAATATTTGTTGCGAACAGCCTGTAGGATTGGTAAATCGTTGCATTCTTTACCCAAGTATTCGTCAAGAGAAAAATGCCGGTTTCCGGCCTATTCTAGGTAACTTGTTTCCGTTTCCTGCCTGTGATCTCTCCCCTCTGCCTTTTCAGTTTCAGTGAATCCTCCGAATTATATTTTATTGTTTATCGTTCAGTTGATCAATCAACAGAGACAATTATATATTTTATTCATTGAAGTACATGCTCACTTCGTTATATAGTTAGTTATCGTCGCGCTAAAGATTTGGGCTGTTTTTTATCAGGGCTTCAGGGGAATTTGTCCTATTCCCTGCCCTTGTCTTATCATCAAGAAGATAAAGTTCTGATTCTTCACAGCTTCAGTTCAAGATGGGTGAGACAGGAATACTTAGCAGGGAAGTGTATGAAAACTGCGATGGTGAAGAAGAAGCAGTTTTCTACGAGGACGTGGATTTGCTCCAGAAACATGGCATTGTGAGTAAAAGTTTCCATTGTGCACTTCAACCTCTGAGTTCCAGTGCATGCATCAAATGCCGCACAAAGAGCTTGTCTCGGTCTCTTTACGTACATCAGGAGGACAAGGCTACTATTATCTGTTTTTGCTGCCTTAGGGTGAATAACATGCTCTGATGGATCATATCATCTGAGGTGACGTGTATATAAGTTATTATGTCCACGCCAAATAAGTTTATGCACCTTTAGACTGCGATAGAAGATCCGTCATCTTGACTCTCCCATTTACATTACATATTAAATTGACATCAGGCAATCTTCTGTCACAATCTAGAAGTGTGTTAGGTAACTTATTTGGTGTGGGCTCTACGCTTTAGTATCAATGATGCGGTGGGTATTTCGATGTCCATTCGACCCTGTTTGATTGTTCATATTTCAGTTGATCGGGTGTCAGTCATCCAAAAGTTAATAGTATTGAATGCTCTCTGTTGGACATCATCATGCCTGAATTGTTTTTACTGCGTCTTTTGCCTAAGAACCCTAAACTCTCTATTCAGTCAGTTCTTCGCTTTGGTCAAATTTTGAAATCACTTTCAATGGGAGTTCTCATTACATACCTCATAAAACGGCTCCATATAAGCTTCGATCGAAGTAGGCCACAGCCTGATGAGCATCAGAAGTGTTACCATCATTATCTCTCTTTAGTCTAAGCCAACAAAAGAGGAAATGCCGAGCCATGACTCACAAAGGATAAGTACCTACTGAAAGTCTCCGGGGCTACACAATTTTTAACCAAATGTTATGTATCAATAATGACATGGCTCATCGTTTAATCTTTCTTTTGAAATTATAGAGACTTTATTTACCATTAGGAGAGACTCAGATGATTTGGAGGATTCAGATGTGTGAAGCTTCAATTAATTTCTGTGTAATTTGCAGGAATACATTAGAAACTAAAATTCTGAGTTTAAGTAGCAATTTATGCATACATCCTAGCATTTCACTACTAGTTTGAACCTAGTTCTGTACCTATTTTATTTCCTAGGTCACTAAAATGTTCACTTGTACCTACAATGCGAAGACTTGGATTTATTTTTGGTGTTTATTTGAGATTTTGTTGGTTTTCTTTACATGTCTCCAGAGTGACTTTAGTGAATGCTGAAGTACTCAAATAATTATCATTTCTTACTTAGTCTTGGATTCAAGCTGACGCTTTCCTTATTCAGAGTTGGGCGATTCAAGAAATATTTCATTCATATTTTATTCTGATGCTGAAAAACTCTTCTTCTTTCCAGAATGTTGCAGACATCAAGAAATTGAAAGCAGCTGGTATCTGCACAGTGAAGGGTCTGCAGATGACCACCCGCAAAAAGCTATGTGCCATCAAAGGCTTAACAGACCAGAAGGTGGACAAATTAAAGGAAGCCTGCACCAAAGTGACTGAGGTGGGCTTCATGAGTGCTCTTGAAGTTTGCGACAAGCGTAAATGTGTCTTCCGCATTGGGACTGGCAGCTCTGAATTAGAGTGAGTATGGAAATTAAATATATATTACCTAAATTATACTATCTGAGTAATTTTATATCCTGAATACCGTTTTTTCCATGAAAAAGTACAAAAAGTAAACTATGTACTTACCATGGTTAACAACATTGCATTTTTCAACTTGACGTTACAATTTATTTCAACATCTCTCTATTTAGTCAAATTTTTTCCCTCTCTTCATTTACAGAGAGTACAAAATTTGCATCATACTTAAGTTACTTTTCTGCCCCCAAATTTCATTATTTTTGGAAAAATTCTTCAAAATGAATTTTCAATAGGTTGTGCATATGAAACTTTTTGTTAGTACGCTTAATTTGCGAGTGCGATATGATGTAACTATTAAAATTATTCCCCAGAAAGTATTAATGCAGCAAAATGTACAACTTGTTTCAACATTTTTTTTTTTCAGCCAACTGATGGGAGGAGGAATAGAATCAATGGCAATAACGGAAGTATTTGGTGAATTTAGAACGGGAAAAACGCAACTTTCTCACACACTCTGCATAACAGCACAGATACCAACAGAATCATACTCGGGAGGAAAAGTCGTATTCCTCGATACAGAGAACACATTGTATCCTTTTATTCAATTTATGAATCAAATTATATTTGTGCCCTGTCTCAACATTCCATATGAAGGGAACCATGAACAATTCATTTTGCTTGATCATTGTTGCAAAAACGGTTGGATCAATTTTCCGAAGTGAGAATTTTCATATCATTATAGGAGTCTTAGGAGAGAGAAGGAGTCACCTGTGTGACGATCTTGGAAAAAATTGGGACATCGGTGTTTTCGAACAAAATTTGTTCCTAAGTAACATCCCCAAAAACATGAGTATTCAGATTTTCAATTTTTTAGCTCTGCTGTGTCACCTTGAAATTTTTATCGAAAGTGTCATTTTAAAGTTTGATTTTTGCATGGCATAAAATCACACACATGTAAAGTACTTCCTAATTTACTCGAGGGTAAGTATGACTGATTTTCTTTGAGTCCTATAAAGAGACCACTAAAAATGGTCAGAGACTGGGCAGCACAGCTTACGTTTTTTTTAATCAAAATGCCCCGCTGAGCAGAGTGGACACACTGAAAATTTCCTAGTTCAACTCATAAGATAAAAATTAGTTTCTTCATGTTCAAAAATACAAAATTCCTCATAGAGCACAGGCAAAAGTCCTCCCCAGTTAAATAAGACGCAGAACTAATTTCAGTTTGATTACAATAAAATAATGTTCTCTGTGCATTGAATTGTTCATGACAAGTTTATAAAGGCTGTGCATTAAAGGAGGCAAATTTTTTTTGGAACTCATTTCTGGTTCATTGCTCACCCATAAGTTAGATTTCGACAGCCACTTCAACATGTTAGTCTTGGTAATTTCAGCAAGCTGGAATGGACCACTAGATAAGGTACGAATTTCAGCATTCTGATACATGTTTCTAAACCAAAATTTTACGTAAAACACGATGCACACAACGAAAATTACTGAAATTAACTCCTTACGAAGATATTTAATGATTCTTGATGCGTGAATTCAAACCACCCGCTCATGAAAACTCAATGCTCTACGTGATTCACATCACGCGCTGAACGTTATCATGACGGTCTCTGCGATCTAAAAATCTGGCAACCTCAATCTTGACGCTTTGGTTCAGTTATAGCAAATTGCTAATAGTTTGAACAACACATGATGGGAAATGAACAATGCTCGATTGAGAAGCTTGCTGAAACCGTTGTAGTGCGCGATTTGACTCAAGTAGAGCTTTGAGTTTCTTGTGAGCGGACAGTTCAAATTCCTCGTAACCAATGTGAAATAAAAACGTTAATATCTTTGTAAGGAGTTGGTTTCAGTAATTTTCGTTGCACGAATCGTGTTCTACGTGAAATTCTGGTAAAGAAACATGCATCAGATTGCTTAAATTCGTACCTTGTCTAGTGGTCCATTTTGAGTTTTCTGACTTTAAAGTAAAAAATAGATGCTAATATCTTAATTACAAGTTGATTTTTGAAATTTTTTTATGTCCGAATGTGTTCCATGAACTTTTGATGAGGAAATTGTTTTTCAATGCAATAATTCTAACTATGTCTATCACACAATTATAGGTGAGCCTCTCAATAGAGATTGCTTGTTTTTAACTGTTCCACAATTATGTTTCAAGGAGCCAGGAAGCTAGCAGTATGTGACAGACCTGAAGTCACATTTTTTTGTTTTTTTCCATCATCCACTATGAACCTTTAATCTCAGTCTTAAATTCTTAACATTATAATGTAGCCGGCCGAATCGTTTAACAGCCATAGCAGAACGATTTAATTTAGACCAGACTGCTGTCCTGGAGAATGTTTTATACGCACGATGCTACACAAGTGATCATCAATGTGAGCTACTGGATTTAGTCGCTGCAAAATTTCAAGAAGAAGGAGGCATTTATAAATTACTGGTAGGTACCTTCATTAGCTTATTTTCATTACATAGGGCACATTGAATACACTGAAAATTTCAGAAATCCATCGGGAAGTAACAAGATTGCTGGACCATTTTAAAAGTAGTTAGGCCTCTTGTTCTCGATAAAACCAAAATTAACAAGCGTCAAATCTATCATTGAAAACTGATGGGCAAATAAGTGGATTTAAGGTTTAAAAAAGTCTTCCTGCCTCTGATGGACAGAAATATAGCACTATGAGAAACTTATTTGATCACGAAACACAATAAACGTATTTACTTGCCAATTCGACTCATCAGTCTTTAAGTGAGTAGAAGTATGAGATTACAGGTACTGGAACCGCCAATTTCTCACTTATGAGCAGAATTTGATAATATTCATTGTGCCACTGTGAAATTTTGATGAGAAATTATGTTTTGCCATGCTTTGTCTTTAACTTTTTCTAGAGGTTAATTCACTAATTGATGTTAATGGTTGATTATTCATAACAGATAGTTGATTCCGTTATGGCACTGTTCCGAGTTGACTACAGTGGTAGAGGAGAGTTAGCAGAACGCCAGCAGAAACTTGCTCAATTCATGTCACGAATCCAGAAAATTTCAGAAGAATACAACGTAGCTGTTTTCATCACTAACCAAATGACATCAGATCCAGGAGCTGCACTTTCATTTCAGGTAAGAAAGCCTCTTAGGAATGTTTTCACTTGCACATCATATCTTTGATTTCACGTGGGACAGGGCAGAGGGACATGAATTATTTATATGTTTATTATTTCATTTTTGTTAACAGCTTCTCCGCAAATAATTTGCAATTCTTACTTTGGTCAAAATGTAGCACAGAGCATCCTTTCATTTTCACTTTCACATCAGACATCCATCCGATTCAATGCTCTGCATTTTTGAAATATCAACAGAAAAACTCCCATACAACATATTTTTTTTGTGGAGTTTTAAAATCCTGCTTTCATTTTATTTTTTTAAATAAAAATAAATTAACACGATTCCTAGAATTTGCCACCAGATTTTCTTCGCAAGGAGAGGAAAAATCTTTGAAGTTTTTAAGAATTGAAGTTGAGTAAAAATAAAGTGAAACGGGGATTCCTGGTAAGAGAATTACAGTCGTTATGCACGTTCGATTGACACTGAACAAAATGAGACATTAAACTTGTGTCCCTAATGAGATATCCAAGGATCAAAGTAGCTTGCAATCATAATATTTTGTCAATTTAAAATAAAAAATAATTTTCATCCTCTTTTCTCATTTATGTAGGCAGACCCAAAAAAGCCGATAGGAGGAAATATCATAGCCCATGCTTCTACAACAAGAATCTCATTGAGAAAAGGTCGAGGAGAAGTTCGCATCGCTAAAATTTATGACAGGTAAGGATTAAGTGATTAAAATATTTGTTTGCCCTTCTGAAAAAGAACCTTGGTGGTAGTACACTCAAGATGGAGACGCTCAGAGAGGTGCTCCAGAAGCATTTATGCATGTAGATTTCAAACCTAACTGGAGCTATGACAGTTAGGAGTTTCGATTTTTTTTTTTAAAGAACGTAGTTTTGTGAAGCTGTCACTAACTTTTATCTGCAATATATCTTTTCGGAGCTCAAAACTGTTGGAGTAAAATTATTTATATTTACACCCTCGATCATCACTGAAATAATAGAGCTGCTTGCAACTTATCAATAGTAAAATTGAAGGGCCACCATAGCAATATTCCGAAATTTTCACCCCTCCTTCTATCATTGAAGAGAGCTTTACAAGATATTTTGGTAAGAGATTTTCAGTAAATATTCTAATCTCATTATTCAAGTTTCCTTACCAGCATTTACTGTATGAAGTGAAAAAAGTTTCCGTCAAGATTAAATATTAATTCATAACCAAAGGACCCTGCACACTCCTTATGGGATTGTGCACCACGATCAATTTCCGATTTTTTTATTGCATTCAATTCGTTTTTGGATGCTGATCAAAAGTCATCAGTGCACCAACTTTCTACGAGGCACCGTTTTCGCAGTATTTCGCACAGTCCAGGGTGGAAGTTTCGATTGTTACTTGTATAAGTGAGGCCAGCGAAGCTATATCTATCTTTCAGTACTTGCTGAAAACGAGGAGCACATGGCAGTCTTATCTTGGATTCTGTGTGCCTTTCCGTCTCACCGTCCAAATCAGATTCTTTCTCTCTCCCAAGTCCTGTTCTTTTCCTTACCTACCACTGGCTTGGGTTTTCCTTGTTGAATCGCTGCACTGGCCTCACTCATTTATGTAATGATCGAAACTGCCAGCGTAAACTGTGTGGAATACTGCAAAAACGGTGCCTTGTAGAAAGTTGCAATGATGACTTGTCATCAGCATCCAAAAACGAAGTTAATGCAATATTGAAATGGGAAATCTATTGTGGTGCTTAATCTCGTAAGGAGTGTGCGAGATCCTTTAACGCATTGATTGAGTTGCAATGAGTGCTGGGTCAAAATAAAGAACGATACACTACAAAGATTTTCAGCCTTTGGCATTTAGGACTGATTTTTAGACATTAACTTTATGGCTTTTTTTTCTTTCTTTTTTATGTTTGCAGCCCTGATATGCCTGAAAGCGAAGCATCATTTGCGATCTCTGAGGGTGGGATCATAGATGCAAAGGATTAAGTATCCAATACATTTCTAATCTACATTTTTTGTACACTTTTTCTCCTAGACTGATTTCTAATCGTCAAATGTTATCTCTAATGATTATAATGTACTGTAAAAATGTAAGAAAAGTAAATCATGTGATTGAAATCACGCCAAAGAAGGATTTTATTTTCATTTTTTAAAGCAGAAATATGATTTAAATTTGTTCAGTTTTTCAAGTGATTTTAGAATTCGTCTGCAACAATTTTTAGTATGTAAAAATATTTTTAAGCACTCAGGGTGTATCACTCATTATCTTTTCGCCAATTTCAGAATTATTTCTTGACACTGCAAGGTTTTTGAATGAATATTTTTTTCCATATTTAATACTCCTATAAATTATCAGTAAAGCTAATAAATTGTTTATTTTCCAACTTCTTTCTTATTACTCATTCCTAATTTTAGAGTCCATGCTCAATTCAATTATTCATTAATTTTTTTGCATGTCAGTGGCTTAACTTCAAAACCGCGTATCTCAAAGGTAAGGGTCCAAAATTTCTGCCAACTTCATTTCTCTTAGAGAAAACGGATCAAAATTGCAACTTCAAATTGTTGAATGATGACTCTAGAACGGTAAATTATTAACAAAGAAAATTTTAAGGGACTCAATTCTGAGTAGTTTGTTGTAGTTAAAAAGAAAAAAAAATGTAGTATGCATAATAATATTGAAAGTCACAAATCAAGATAGATTGATTTAACATTTTGCCATCAAACTGTCTCCTCTGTCACAATTTTCCTGTAAACCTTATGATTCTGATACATACCACTATTCAATCACTAGCAGCTTATACTGAAGAAAAATTTACTTTAAAATATTGTATCATGGTGATACTTCAAAAAAATAAAACAGATTAATGGCCGCTACCAAGGAACATCATCTAATGCCGCAATCATACGCTGAATGTGGGAGCTGAAAGTGGCTTCAATGTGGAAGTCATCAGCCCGATTCCTGAATTTTGCATGTGTCGCGCAAAATTTAGCAACAGTTCTCAGCGACCATCGGATAATGTCGGATTTGTCTGAACTATTGAATAGATTTGATACACATTTGGATGAAAATAACTCGAATTTGAGAAATTTCAGCTATTGAGCAATGGCTGTTGACTTCCATATTCAGCGTGTGATTCCGGCATTAATTTGTACTGATAACTTGCATCACTACTCAGATGTTAACATAGACAGTCATTGTAAGCTGATTTGACCCTTTGGTTGTAAGAAATTAATTTTATAGCATAACGTCCAAAAAAACGCTGAGTGAGGAAGTTTACATGGAAAGACAAATAATGAGTAAAACCCTCTTTAATTTTCCTGAGGAAAGATACGCCTACTTCTTACGAATGGTGAGCTATCGCCTTTGTCACACTAACAATATTTTCTTTATAAATCGAAAATGTTGTAATGACCAGTCCAGTTTTGTCAATATTTGACCACCTACAAACAATTAATGGACTGATGTCAACTGAATATACTGATAGTGTGAACACGGCTGACAACAGGGTGGGAGGAAAAGAATGCTAAAGTTTTTCTACGACAAGGTAGAATATTTATTATAACAAATTGAAAAGTATCTATATGATTCTTTCTTTCATAAAAGTTTGTTAAACACAGTAGTAAAAAGAATTCTATTAAGAGCTGCGTCTCAAGCACGATTCTCTTTGAACTCAAAAATAAGAGATAGAAATATCACCATACTTTTGACTTCGAGACAAATTTTACGATGGATAAAAGTTTTAACTACATACTCAAGGGTCGACTGTAAGACCTCTGATTATTGTATTCATCCAATGGACTCAAGATTTTCATCAACAGCCCATTTACTCACTTGAAAAACCGGTTTCTGGTGAAAAAAAAGAGGACCGGGACTTAACCTATAGAACATTTGTGAGATGGGGCTGGATGATGTCATAACTAGTAATTTTTTTGGTCAATTTGTACAATTAACGGTTGCCCATAAGTTACCTCTTCTTAAAAATCAAAATTTTCAGACCATCTTCCTCTCCATGTCTCGTATGTCTGGAATCCCTTTAAAACATGTGTCACAATGTCCTTAGCGAGTCTCCTACAATAGGAATATATTCAGTTACAGAACATACTCGTACAGCTTTAACACATACTACACAACTGATTAGCTGTCAAAACTGGCAGGTCATTGGAAACATACAAGAGATAGAAAGACGGCATATTTATAATTAAATTAATTTTTAAGTTGAAAAAAAGTAGGAAAGACGGCATAACATTCTGCAGTAAAAGGCAAGACCAATCTACACAGGTCAGCTATTCCTGGGAACGAGTTCCATGACCCTACTGCATATGGTCAACAGGAAATGCTGTGCGTTTCTTATGAAATCATTTTCAGAGTAATCAATTCTACATAATACAGATTAGCTATGGTCCTAAGAGTAGATTTCCAAAAGATACGCGATGATTGACCTGAGTGGATTTATCATGGTGAAGATCTCCTTCCCTCCCCCTGTGCGAAGCCCTGCAAATGTGTACCGCTTTCCCCTCTTTGAGTGCCACTTAATTTATAGACAGCCGTAACAGGTATCAAAGTGCTTCATTTACAATCATAAGTAAAAAAATACAAGAACCTATTCTAATCACAGGATATTCACACTTAATCTAACATTGAGTCGATGATAGGTAGGTAATCGATAAAAAAGACAGGTAATTTTACGGTGATTCTTTACAATCTACAGTTAAGAGAATAGTTTTTGGTTAAATATCAAGAACAACCTCTACGGTAGATGTGAGTGGTGCTGGAAGTTCATTCCTCTTGACTTAAATTAACTATCACAGAACCGAAGTACGTGTCGAAGAATAAAATGACTCCAAGAATATTTATGTTTTTATATATATGAGAGAAAAAAAAGACCTCATTTGGATTAACGACAACTTTCCCCAGTGTTCCATACTCCATGCAAAGCTGAAGTCTCAGTTGGATGTGATATTGAATCACTGGCAAAAGAGAATGTGATAGGTCTGGAAGAAGTTCGGAATTCCACTGTTAACAGTAATACAGATGCCCTTAGGCACTCCACATGGATAACTTGATCTGCCTCAGTTTTCACAAGGGTTATCTCGTGGAAAATTCGTTGGATCTAAAGACTTAAGTGTTTGGACAAATTCGTTTTAGACTCATCCAAAGGCATAAATAATCAAAACGCAATTCTATGACAGCTGCAACTGACTCACTTTTGCTCTGTCATGAGACAAACATTGCTTGCAGGCAATTTGGTGGAGCTAACCCTCCATTTTACTATATTCAGTGAATGTACCCCGTAATTTTGCATTGAACTCATTTCGCACACTCAGCATAAACCAGAAACGCAAAATATGCCCGATCATGTGATCCACAGATCAGTGAGGGAAATTTCGACTGAAATGCACTGAAGAGTCACCCAAAGAATTTTAGTGATTTGCGGACTTCTTCGACTGTTCACAAGGCATTGTGAGCACTCCTTGCAGCATGAAAATGAGATGATCCATTTAGGACATTTTTTGAGGACAAAGAGCAAAACAAATCGAAAAACTAGACAAAGTGAGGATATTTTTAGAAAAGGAGAGAGGAAGAAATTTAAAAATGGCAATGAAGTTTTTTTTACTGCAGAACTCATTACATTCCTGCTGAATTCATCAAAAGGTTAGACGCTGTAGTCCAGAAACCCACAGAAATGAGATGCATACTAAGAAAGGGGTAAGCTCAACGAGGTGGTAGGATGAACCAATAAAAATTAACATCAAATCATCAAGATTGTATGCAATACACCATTTTGTCCTGAAATCAACTCATATCCTTGCAAAAATAGCAAAATCTTCACTAAAACAAGTTTTTCAATTGAAACTTTGAGCTCTAGATCTGAGCCTCGACAATTCTTTAAGTTAGGCGTAAAGTAATCATCACAACTGATAGGTACTGTGATAAACAAACTGATCAATGTCTAAAGAACAGTACTGCTAATTTATATTTTTGGGAAAAAGGGACAACTGATTTTTCTTCATATCACATGAAATTTGGCGTCACAGCGCTATAGCAGAAATCGCAAAATTTACAGTTGTCTGCACCCCACTTAAATTGACTGAAAATGGCTTTTAGTTCATTAACCTAAGAGAGACTCAGGATTGAACTTGAGCAGTACTGTTTATTAGGCAATGAAAAGTGGAAAGATGAATAATAAACTTGACATTGCTTAGAAAAAGTACTTGCAATGCCTTCAATAACTAGGAACGATGATTTGGCTTTGTAGAAATACTAAACACAGAAGTGGTAAAAAAACAAAATAAATAAGGAATATAAACACATAATCAAGTCAAGAGCCCTTCATCTGATGCTCTATTAATTTCTTCATCAAAACATTGACTTCTTTGATTGACATTTAGAGATCTCTTATTTAGTCTTATGATTGAACCGTCGATTAAATTTCACCGAACATTTGACTGCGGAAAAATAGCAAGGGCTCTTTGTGAGAGAGATCATTGCAAAAATAATATTCTATTCAGAAGAAAGAAAAGTTGAGAGAGGATACGCATACAGAACAGTAATAGATGTTCAGACTTACACTTGAAGAACACAAGGAAAATAGGTAATGACAGCAGCAGCCCAATTATTGGAACAATTTCGGCTCGATAAGACAAGACACAGCCCTATCTCAACCATTCGATACATTTCTTTTGATGTCTTATTGGGCAGCTTTAAACGTTCAATCATCGGCCAGCAGGGCCAAAATAAGGAGTGGGCCAGTTATGCCATGATGGGAACTGAATTCACGATGTTTTTTTTAATTTTCAGAGATCACGGTAACCAGAAGGAAGATGCATTTAAAATAGGAAAAAAAAAAGGAACTCAGATACCTCTAAATTCGAGATGTGGACAAATGTAGGGGACTTTAGAAGCTGATCGCTGCAAATTAACAGTTTAGCATATCTTCGTGGATGTTTCTGTTAATTTATTTTTCCATTCATCCTGATGCAAAATCAGATATTCTAATTTTCTCTGCCATTTGACATAAAGCATATTTCACAGCTGCCTTCTTTGATAGAATAATATTAAATCACAGAAAAAATCTATTTGTGACACTATTTTAACAATGCAATTAATGACAGTAAAGGAGATGTCCCACCACCATTTTTCTCATTAGAGTTAACCGATCAACAGGATTTGTCTTTTCATGAAAAAAGGTTTTTGACAGAAGAAGCAATATTTCTCCGCCAAGACTCTTTTTGCAACACTTTAATAAATTTTTTGCTTATTTCCACTTAAAAACTATGGGAAATATTAAATCGTGACTCATTATTCGATGACTAAACTGACCCATTCTCTTTTACACAAAAGACAAGGTAAAGATTTTTCGATTCTGGGACACAGTATTCATAAGCACATAGACAATTATACAGATTGAAAACATTATCTGAATATTTTGGCATCAAACCTGACTTTAACCCTCTGTTTTTTATTTTTTGTTCTCAGACTAAACTTAGGTAAGACGGGGGAATAAAAGGAATTCGCTATTCTATTCATTTCCTTCTAATGAATCAAGAATCATTGACTTGTTAGAATTGCTAAAAACAGTCTTGTGTTTTTCCTCTCTCTTGTCCTAATTACGGAAAACAAGCCCCGCAGTAATTAAACACCAAATAAAGGGATAAGGCTGTTTATTTTTTTCATAAGTTTCATTTTTGTAAGAAAAGTACGAAATTTAAGCTCAGAAAAACTCAGAATTTTATGAAAACTTTAGTACTATGAACTTGATCAGTTGTTTATTAAAATACTGGCAAACAAATCAAGATTGGAAACGAGCTGCTGACTTTAAAATTCAGACATTTTACAATCATTTTGATGCCAAAACACTTCCATGATTGAAAAATTAGATACATACCTTATAAAATTTGAGGAGATATTGAAAAACACCTCAATTATACTTAAGGTTATGCTTTATAAACAGGTGATGTTAGGAAGAGTCTGTTGGCTCTGTCCCGAAATAACGATCTCCAAAGTTACCGATCCCAGGTAACACATAAAACTTTTCATTGATTTCTGGATCTATAGCTGAGGTTACAATTCTGACTTGTGGAAACGCATAGGCGATAGTATGCACACCTGCGAAAAAAAGCTTTAATTATTCAGATGAATTATTAGAACATGGCTTGCACAACCTCAATTTTTTATTCTACAGAATTTTCAAGCACTTTTCACAACCTTTTTCGTAATTTTTTCCTAACTGTACAGTTTCCTCCTTGTATCAAAAGAGTCCAAGTTTGGGATTTTTGTTTCACTTTGAAGGTAGATCTCCATTTTTTTTGTAAATAGGATGCCTTCCACAGCAATCTTTTTGATGTCAAATACTTTATTATTTTTTAAAAGCGGGCATTTTGTTTTGATGGAAGGTATTTAAATCGTAAAGAGAAAAATTCAAGCACTTGTTAAGCATCTTTTAAAAACTCAAGCACTTTTTAAGTATTTTTTAAGGCCACACAAAGCATGTAGGACCTTCTTAAACATATTTTCTTTTCATTTTGTTTCATTAGTATGTATATAACAGATAGGCATAAAAAGTAACTGTCTACCTAAGAAGGGACAACAGTGGCAAGGCATTTAGAAACGAGGCATTAGTATCATAGCTAAGAGGAATGTATCATGGACAAAAGGTCCAAAAAAGTCAAACCAGACTTGATTCCAGTCAATAAGATTTTGTAGTTTAACAACCATTGTTTTAGAAAAATACAATTTGAAGTTTTATTCAAAACCGAAAATTTTATGATTGATTTTTGATGGAATCAAACTGGATGCCCTGTTGAACAACAAGCTGGTGCCATCTACAAAATAAACTGTAACTTGCAATTGAAGTTATTTAGAAATCATTTTGCAGCTCCAGTGGAAATGACTTGAGGAAATGACTGCATGGTCACATGTACAAATTGTAGGAAAAAAAGCAATTACACGGGGCACTGTTTTACGTAATTTGCAAAAAAAAGTTGGCTATTGAGTCTTGGAATATTGCCTGAGAAGCTCTGGAAACGATACACATCATCAAGAATACAGGTGTTCTACGCAAATTTAGAGCTGACATAGACGGATTGAGTGCTTCCTATTACCAGTGTTTCTGTTTCTGGAGTTGGTATTGCTCTAGAATAATTCGCCAAGGGTCAGTTATTTTTGTGGACCAGTTTTGAAGTCCTACGGACCCATTGACATATAATACAATCTAGACCGCGCATTAGAAAATTTCGGCAAGACTAGAGTCCCTTCAGGCAAGACGATAAGCAACCCAGCAACACTCAGTAAGTGTACCGACCGAGACAATGGAAATGCCAGTCTTATCAGTGCCGTTGCCTGATACGGGTACACTTAGCTCGTATATCTGGCGGTATCAACTAGGCTGAAGGCCCGTCTTTACCCCCCTAGTTGTCTTACCTTCCCCGCCTAAAGTCGGGCCCAATGCGCGGCCTAGATTGTATTATACGTCAACGTACGGACCATTGGGTGCAGGAAGTTCAAATGCAAAGCATTGCTCATGAGAAGCAAATCCACATCATACTAGCTGCAGTCAAGTAAGAGCTGGGTGGGGAAGTGCCTTTGAAAAAGATCTGTGATGACCGACACATATGATTGGTTCTGGTAGTGCCCCTTTGTCCATCCTTTATCTGCCTTACGGTTTAAATTAATTCCTACCTCAGTCAGTTGTATATCTATTTCCAGGTTTTCACTTTTTTTTTATTTTTTACTGTAGTTGCAGTTGAGCACCAACACGGAATCGGCCCAAAACGTCTTGGCTGTGTTTTTACTTTTTTAAGTTTTGCTGTACACATTTTTTGAGGAAGGATTTTATTTGTATTTAATCGTAGAACCAGGTTATTATGGTGTGTTTTCCTCATCACTTTACCTGATTGATAAAACAATAACAGAAATCACTGAAGGACAGACTGAGAAAAAGGTAAAACTCACCTGATTCTGCCATTAAAAGAGATACTACTAGAATATTTTCTTCAGGAACATCATGATCTAACAAAACTCTAATGGCCATCATAGCTGCAGCACCCGTCGCAACTGTTGCATCCATTAAAATAACTTTATAGTCTTTTATATCTTTTGGTAACCTTAAATAAAAAAGCTGCAACATAAAAATGCTTTTGATTATTTCTATCAATCATTTTTCCTTTTCTTTTCAATTTGTCTTTAGAAAAATACATTTAAATCAAATCTAGACACAAGACACGGAGTAAAACACTGAATTCAATAATATGTAGAAAAGTACATAGTTCAAACTTTTTCAATAGTTCTTCACTTATTCTCATTGAAGGGAATTTCAGAATTTTTAAATTTTGCCATAAACTTTAAGTTTTGGGTTATGATAAAAATAACGAACTTGTTTCACTGAGCGAGGAAGTACTGTTTCAATTAAGTTAAATATTAAAAAAAAAAAAAAAAAAACACTAACCTCTGGCTCTCCAGATTCTCGGTTGGTCTGAATTAAGATTTTTCCGATACGAATATCTTTGCACACATCTCGAACAGCTTGTTCCATCGTTTCACCTGCCCGTAAAATTGAAACTCCACAGATTTTATCACTAGCACACCGTTTTCCTTCATAGATTTGTCCTTGAGGAGTTTCAATGGTTCGCTCCTAGAAGCCAAAAGTTGAGTAAAACTGATAAGAAATTTGAGCATGAAAAGTAATGTTAAACATGCACCACTTTGCGAATTTGCTGCAGATTTTGCCAATTTACACTGAAACATTTTGCTTTAAAAATGGTCTGACATTTATCTTGGTTCTCTGAATCATTCTCTTGTGGGAGCTGGGTTCAAACGTTTGAAACATATGTATTAGAAGAGAATGACCCAAATTGATAGAGAAACTGCCGGATTAGGAATCTCAGTTTGCAGCATTGCAGACTTTCTGCCATTCTTTATTTCACAGGTAATTCAAAAATTACTCAGTCACTAAACGTAGTTCATGAAAACTTTGGGAAATTTTGTTCGCTACAAGAAGAATGATCGGTGAAAATTCTGAGCCATAGTGTTACATCAGTGTTCTTAAAAAAATAAAATAGGTGTGGCGATTTTGAAACACCTTTTTAGCAAATTCAACGTCGAAATGGTTTAAGTTAATTGAGATGATACGTAAGAAAGATTGATGGCAGTTTGAGAGATTGTTGATCTACTTCGGGTAGATTTTCTTAAATCTCTCTTTTGACGAGCCAGGTTATGGATAACTAATACAAAAGTGCCTCCAGACAGAAAAAATTTGAAAAATGTAAAATGGACAGCACAGATAGTCTATTAAAAGAGTAAATTTCAGAATTTTCTGCTGTGCATTATATGATTTTTGTGAGATCCTCTGAGAAGTCAACGTAGTTCATTGTATATCTTGTGCGCGTAAGACCTATTCCTGCTAAATATGCCTTCTATCGTGTATTTGCTGGGCTATCATTGAGCACAAATCGCTGTGTTTAATTATCTTGAGTGAAAAAATGGAGATCCACCTTGCTAATAGACTTCCTGAGGCCAGCGATGGACTACTTGAGTTACAGGGTCTATATATATTTGGTTGTATTCAATATGACAAGTTCAAAGTAAATATATTGTCAATTAATTAAATATGAGTACATAGGTACTATGATAAAATATAGTCATACCTCAAAGGGAAGTAAGGATAACGCGTACTCAATGACCAAACGAATAAGTCTTTTGGAGTAAAATATAAATTCATCTCTAGGCGTGTCCTTATTCCTGATAAAAGTGTGGAGTCCCTTGATCTGCGGAGTTTCTGGTAACTGGAACAACGATGTTGGCAGAGGCTGACCATTGTATGCAAGGGCTAACTGTTCTCTGACTTTGAAACCTCGCTAAAAAAGTGAAAGAAAAGAAGGCACGGTTAGAAGACATTCGATCAAAGATTGTATTAAAATTAGGAGCACTAAAAACTTATGCTATAAGAATAAATATAAAAAAGGGTAATAATCAGTCAGTTTTTCTGAAAAATACAAGAGTATTCTTGTTTTTAGTACACTGCTATCCAACCATTAAAAAAATGCTAGGATGTCAAAGTCATTGACATTGTTCAAAAATTAGATTTGAAGTAATTCCAGACCATACGTAATTGATCTCTTTAAATTATTATCAATTGCTTGATTAATCTAAATTTCAGGTTTGAAAAGTAATCATTTTGCTGCATGAGGAGGAGTCTATTACAGATTTTTGTTGAACTCCAGACAGGGTAAGTAAAGGATTAAAATGGTCATCAAAGGTCATTGATGTGTAGACGAAAGTAGCTGAACTGTTGAAAGACAGAAACTGATGTACTCCTACAGTTTATGTACTTGCTTCATTTAAGTTAATGATCCAAGTCTTAGCTCTAGTCAGAGATAAAAAAATCCCATCGTTAGAGAGGATGTTGCAACAAAAATTGCATATCCTCATTTTTGCGCAAATATGATTTTAGACTTAACAATTTAAACAAATAAGTTTAGAGTCGATTTGATTAACACATTCCCTGCCAATAGGATCTAGCACATAAGTTCCCATTGGGTCAGGAAACTGAAAAAAAAACAACAACATCAATTTACGATGATGGTAAATTGTTTGTTTACATGTATTGAAAATTGATGTGACATTGCGTCCATAATACGCACTTCATGAATAGTTTGATGATAGACCCATAAATGAGGTTCTTACCACTTGGCAGTGTAATTAAAGCACACTGCGGAAATAATAAGTCATCACGACCCTGGGACCAAAAAAAAGGTCAGTACAATCCGCTTTCCGTCCATGGCAAAAGGAATCCGGTTCAAATCACATGCATGTAGACGAATTAACTATTTTAAGTAAAATTAACGAGAGGAGCTTTTAAGGGTGTCTTAAATGAGTAAAGCAAGAAAACTTACCAACTGGAGCTGTGTGTGAACATGTTGTACTATAAGTGCGATGGCAACTTCATTTTCTCCACCACGAGGAACAATAATATCTGCATGGACCATTGCAGGGGCTATGTAGTGTGTGAAAGCTGGTTTCACCATGGTACAATACTGTTTAAGTACGCCATCCAAGTCTCGACCTCTTGCAACAATGTCTCGCTGAAGTCGACGAGCCAAGCGGACATCGGCATCTGTATCAACAAATATTTTCAAATCCAGCATCTGTAAAAGGAAAAGACAACATTAGTCCACAATAAAATACCAATTCATAAAATCTGACTAATTCGTTTTAGTATGAGGAATGAGTGCCTTTTTTTTTCTTTTGGTGTGTGTGTCACACTAGGTGCTTTCAAAATTTCCAGGGGAATACCCAGATTTGTAGAAAAATTTTGCCTGACAACAAAGATAGATTCTTAAAGGTTGCTTACATTTTTAAAATAGTGACTTCATAGGAAAAAGGGCTACAGAGCTGTAAGACTCAAAATTGAGAAACTGGTATCAGTGCTTCAGAGAGTGTTTCACGCTTCTTTTAGAGCAAAAATTCCCGCAAATTTTCAACAAACCCAGAGTGAGGACACTAATAAGTTTGCAGTTTAAAAAAACATTAGTAAAAGTGACTGTAATTTTGGGAAAAAGCAACTTGGAGTTTTAATCTTAGTCCTGAGAGTTAAAACTGCGGGATTAAAATACTTGCGCTCTTTTATTAGCACAGAAACAAACTAATTCCCTCACAAATTATTTTTTAACACTCCAGAATGCTTTTGCTTGAGAATTTCATATTTTATACCCAACAAGACAAAAATTGTCCTCTTCCAAAATTTGCCTTTTAGCATCAGGTTCCTTAGCCCTGATGAAGGTACAATTTTACAGACTGCTTTAAATGCAGAATGATGCAAACACACAAAAGAGAAGATTGCTCTTTCATTCGAGCAGCATCTCTCATTGGATTTCACTACAGATTTTAAAGATGAAACTTCAAAAAAATGAAACTTTGATAGAAAATTAAAAAAACAAGAAACTCATAAACAGTGTTCTGCCTTCCCTGGGCGCCATGTGCCAAATGCGCCTAAAAATTGGGGGGGCCGAGCCATCGTGACGCCAAAAAAATTTGACAGATCTAACTCGCAAACGGGAAGCAGCGGTAGCGATGAAGCGCTCTCTATACTCACTGTTTGCAGCATCGCCACGGCCTGTATGCAAAAATCTAATTTGGTTCCTAAGAAGTAGTTGATGGCTCCTAAAAATTGGGCTTTCCAGCCAAGGTGGCTCCTAAAATTTTAGGGGGAAGGCAGAACACTGTTAGAAAGTTACTAGAATACATTTTACACTTTAAAGCGAATACAAACCTTCAAAACCTCTTTATTATAAAAACCTAGAATTCCTTCAAAAATAATAACGTTAGCACCATACATTGTTTTCTGTAAGAAAAAAAAAGAGAAAAGATTATGATAGGAAAGAACTTTTGATTGAAAAGAAATCAAATGATCTCAATAGAGAATTTGCAGGTGTCTGAAATTTGATGAATTTCGTGTTTAAGTGGAAACTACTGAGTGAACTGAACACGAGGATACCCTTGGTTCATGAATTGGATAATTATTGGAGAAGATATGACAAAATTATCTAATCTGCTAAAATACATGTGTTTAAATGGGAAATGCTGCCAGATGACGTCACCAGGTGGTGCATTTTCTCCTTTTTAAATTAGCTTTTATACTATTTCCCATATCAGAAAGAAAATATAAAAAAATACTGTGAAATCACCTCTTTAAGCACTTTCAGATGAAGCAATAAAACATTTGCATGCAAATTCTCCATTGGTCATGAGAACACATAAATATATGTTTTTACTCAGAAATAAGTTCAAAACATACTAAATTACTTTTTTAACATATTTACACATATGAAGGATAATGCATAAGCTGCTACAAGTTTCGCTGAAAAGAAGGCCCTCAGAAACCTTACAGACAATAGTGCCTGGTTTCTGAAAGAAATCATGTCTTGGAACAATTTAACAATTTCAATGCTCAATTTTCATCATTATTTCCCTAGATGAAATAATTCACATGTTATGAATGCCACTGTAATGGCTTTGGAGACTGTATAGTCATTGGTGCAGTGCCCAACAAAAAATTCCAAGGTTGCATAATGAAAATTGTCATAGTGCCCTGGCTGCAACTCTAAAAATACATACATAGTCAGCAGCACAGCTACAATCTGTCTGCAGGGCTTCCATTTACACAAAAACTTGGGCTTTCCACAAAGTTTCTCACACGTGAAAACAAAATATATCTCTTACCGTCTTGCTTTCTCTGGTGTGAGTGACAAAATTATAAACCGGAACGTTGACATTTTTGCCATCTTTGAGACGTTGCAAAGTTTGCAATAACAAATCAAAATCGAACGCATCAGGATGATCAAAGTTGTACTCATTTAAAGCAGATTTCTTATGCTGCTCTTCATTTAAAACCTAAAAGAAGAAAATATGAGAAATCAGCGGCCACGGAAAGTTTAGAACATACGATAGAATATCTTAGAGGAACTATTACTATCAAGATAAGAGGAGAGAGGTCAATAGAAGTTTTTGTTCTCATTTGACTCATGAAAATTTTAGGGTTTGATCCCCCCTTGGACAAAAACAGAATTAGAACAAGCGGTTTTCCCTCAAAGAAACTGATATTCTAAATAGAACGAAGAGGTAAGGTTGCGATTTATCACACTATTTTGCATCTTGGATAAAAAATCAATAAAATCATAAAACCAGTTTTTATGAACTCTCCTGGTATGGCATCAAGAAATTCAATGAATGCCACTACATGATGCTCCCCATTAAAATTAGAATGATGTCCCCGGAGTGACAAATGTGACCTGACCTATCCCTCTAGCTTTTACTTAATTTCCGTGTCTGGTTCCCTGTCTGAGATCCACTTTTGGAAATCAAGTGGTATTTAGCTGAGTATCATTATTCAGTCATACCTGAAACTGTAAAAGCCACAGTAAAGAACGACGTACCTCAAAAACAGTGTTTCAACATTTCTGCTCCTATATTATTCTTTCAAAAAGAAACAGGTCAACTATGTAGCTTGAAATCTATGCAGAATATTCTGCTTAGACAGAGGAAAAATCAAAGAAGTATTCAAAGAAATTACATTGACTACTTTTTTAAGAAATAAAGTATGACAGGAAGTCTGCAACAATGCAAACAGAGACACTTATGGTTTCACACTCTGGCTATCAATTTATGATCAATACTTATACCCAAAAATTTACTAGCCATGTTTAATTTAAATCCACTGGGCAAAAGTGCCACATAATGCATACAGTGGTTGTGTTGGGCAGAGAGGTGAAACCTTGAATAAGAACAACTAATGACAGATATTTTAAAGACACTTTGTGCAAAACAAGGGAAAAACTAAAAATTTCACTGGCGTCTTTGCAAGAGTCAATGCAAAATCTCTTTTGCTTTCTGTAGCCCCCTTCTTTCCTTCCACATGAAGTTTGAGAGATACAAGCAGCAATTCTGAGATGCTTGTTAGGATTTTGGATCCTTTTTTAACTGAGGCAAGAGCATAAGTTAGAACTGCTGTGCTAAAGAAGAACGCCGTATGAACATTCGTGAGTTGCCAAATTTCTTTCGGTAAAATGTTTATCTTTGAGGAAAATTATGAATATTTTTTCTTGAAATTTTCAGACACTTTAGATCAAATTACAAAGAAAATTACTGAAGAAATTGGCAGAGCAATGTTCAAATATTTTCCTGAAAATTGGTGATTTGCCAAGGTAAATGTGGCAACGCCTGGAGACTCATACAACGTTTTTCCTTAGCACGGCAGAGATCTTCTTACACTCATAGGATTAAATTCCAGCCTATTTTCAACTATTCATCCTTGCTAAGTTGTGCTAATTAATATGACCTTCCGATATCATATTCAACATTCTCAGGCATTTAATTCCATCTATTTAACTGTTCAGTCTGAAAACTATGCAAAGCAGTTTAATTAACACTGACCTTGTAAAAGGAATCCATACTCAGCAGAGTCACCCAGTGAATATCTAGCTCTTCGATGATTTTTGTTGCAACAGTGGTTTTACCTGAAGCACTGCCTCCACAAATGCCTGCGAAAAAGACAAAGTAAAAAAAATTAAGGCAAAAAGTAAAACAAATGTATAAAATGAACACTTATGTAAGGAATATTACACTTTTGTAATTTTTATTATTGTTCACTGATTTTGTTTCCTTTTGCAAGATAGAAAATTATAGTGATTAAATTTTATTTTTATGTGAACGACGAATGCTAATCTTTTTGAGACAAACTGACATTGGAAATTTTCAACAAGTTGATAAAGATCTGCAGATAAAATTAATGAAGGACCATGTCTTGCGTGTGTATAAAGGGCTCACAGTGCTTGCTGAATTCTATGTTCTCTCTGTTTGCCCTGTGTTTTATTCAAATTTCCTCTATGTCTCAATGGTGGGTAATAGAAAAGCTAGAATTGTCAGCTTTTTTACTCTTTAGATGTTACAATTTTCTCCTGTCATAGCTATAGAGACTATAGAGAGTCTAGTTGAGGAGCTTGGAGGACAAGGCACATAAGTGCAGTTTTTAAAAAAATTGAGATATTAATGATTTCGAGTAGAGCTAGTCTTAGTGCATACTCTGTGAAAAATTTGCTCCAAAATCCTAATTTTTAAGCATTAAGTCAGTTTGATCTTTCTTTCCATCATTAGGATCCATGTAATTTTGAAATGTCAAACACGTATTTTTCGAAACTGCAAAACTGCAAAAACTGCACCTAAGTGCCTTGTTCTCCAAGCCCCTCAAATCTCTTTGTTAGTAGGATATTTTTCTAAAAATCCGATGTTTTTTGGGTTTTTCCCCCCAGGGGTGTAGAAGAAATTTGTCTCCTTTTCTCATTAGAGATCCGAGATTACCTTACCTAAAAATATGATTTCAGGAAGCTATAAAAAAAGTAAAAAATATGAACAATGGTGTTTTTGACCAGATTATGTGAATGTCGACAAATTTTACATCCATTACCATGTACCTATTCAAAATTGTAGCTCACCTTTAAGAGCACTTGCACTGTATGAGGTAATATTTTAGTTTCATAAGAATAAACTATGACTATTTTTCGAGGGGGAAAAAAATTTAAAATATGGTTAACAAAAGTACTTCCTTTTCTAATCACTTCTGCCTTTCCTAATGAGACCAGCGATGCAGGCTTTATGCTTTCTCATTTTTTTCTCATGCCTCATTTTAATTCTAAAAAATTGAATTTCTGGTATTTTTTACATGCTATGACTTCACTGAGAGCTGCGCTTTGTTTAAGTAAGAGGGATGATCGGTAAACCAAAACGCTTGACCCATGAACATTCGCAATTAGCAGTCGCACAATTGATGCCTTGCCGCAGCTGACTTTAAAATAAGACATTGATGTTTATTAAACCATGAGAAGCCAAAAAAAAAAAAAAAAAGTAATAGCTTACCAATGATGAATGGACGTACATAATCTCCATCAGAGTTATACCATGGAGGCCGCCCTGCTGTGTAAATAGTTCTCTTGTGACTCCTTAGGACGGATTCAGCGGAGGTCTTCTTATGAGACAGGTTGACAGAGGTTGTTCGTTTCCGCGCTGTTCTTGGGGATTTAATGGAAGTGCGAGACTGTGGGCGCGGAGATTGAGGTGGTGATGCTGGCAATTCATGACACCCGTAAAAAAATTCATTTTGTCCTACATCCCCTAAGTCACTTGAATCACTGAAAAAAGAGAGAAAAATTAAGAACCGTACAAAATAAAAGTAAAGAACAAAGCGCAGTAAAGCTGTAATGTTGGTGAAGAAAATGATAGGCAACAGAAATGTTCAGTCTTGTCCTGCTGCTAAGACTGAAGAGCTTGTGTAATTAGCTTCCTATTCACTAACTTGTCCATCAACTGTGGTCTTTCTAACATCAGTTTAGATTTGTCAACCCTCAGAATGTGCTGCCTGGGGATTGAGATCTCTAGTGTCAAGTTGCATCAAATGATTCAATTCTCAGGACCTTAAATGCTCATTCAGGGTCCACAAGCTCCTTCAAAGGATAAGGATCAGATAGTTTTGTAGACAAGCTGCACATGCAGTGCAAAGACCGAGCTTAACATTCTTTAAAGCTCAATGATAATCTTTTGGTAAGTAAATATAGTAAAAAAAAAGGAAGAAAAAAAAATTCACAGCATGGCAAATCTCAAGTTGAGACATCTGATCCTGTTATGATGGGTTCACTGCTTAGACTATCGAGATCCACAGAGCACAATAGAGAATTTTAGAGAACAGAATACAGTAAGTAACTTTAGGCAAATAGAATGCAACTGCAGGTCCACAATGACCACTCACTGAAGAGTGAACCTGGCAGTGTACACAAACCTTGAAAAAACAAAAGGTGCTAATTGACTACTTAGAAGATCCACTATTTTTACTTCTATGCTCCACTGCAACTGTAGTAAGCATCAACATACAAGTTCCGGCACAAGCAACTTTAGAAGGGTAATATTGCTTTAAAGATAAGTTAGTCAACATAGGGCTTGAAACATGTGCTTCATGAAGGAGATCCCACATTGCGAAGGTCCACTCGGAAAACCTCATTGCATCAAAGCCATTGATATAGGCTCAGCTGCAAAACTAAAATACTTCAAGGATGCTATGTCAAGGAAAATTGCAACAGCCAGATTTTTCAGCATGTACTTGTCCGTGTAAGCGAATCAACAGTTGACATGGGGATTTGAGGGACAATGGCAGAGAGACATCATTACACAACCTTGGACAGTACTTTGAATGATTGCAAACGAGCATGAAAAGTTCCACATCAAAGCAAGGAAAACTGCTCGCCGTAGAATTGAGACTAATTACAGTAATTTACCTTATGGAGCTGGCAGAGCTAGCCGAGCTGGGAGGTTCGAATGTTGTTTGAAGGTTTGCTGCCATACCCTCAGTTGTTCTGAGCGCCGGGAAAATTGACGAGAAATTGAGATGTTCCTAAAATATTCATACGATGGTAGTTGTGAGCACGGTCATTCCAGTTTGTTTACAATGAAAATGCAAATGAGAGAAATATTTCGAAATGTAAGCGAGAGGCAACGTGAGTGAACTGTTCGTACCGTACTACGTATCAAAAAGCACGTACATTCCGTAAGGAAACACAAAACACAACACATCGAAAACTGAAAACAACAACACGATCGTCGAGAGGTTAGGAATTAAAGACGAGCTGCGGAAATTTGGAGGTCGGACAACATCGCCGACGCTCGGGCATCTTCGCCGTGGCATTGAAACTTGATTGGCGCTCTTCGTTGCTAAATTCAAAAAGTCGATCAATTTGTTTACGAGCGTCACCAGGATGGCCACGGGGGCATGCAGAGACATTGAATTATATTAATTTAATTATTTTATTATCTTCTCTAAATCTCTATTTAGTGGTGGCAAAAAACAGCAAAAAAATGATTACAGAGTAGATTTGTTAAGAAAGAAAGGATGAAGTCTAGGGAAGTATTACTTAATGCTCTTTGATGGGTGTTAAAAATGTTCTACTTTGAACAAGTTACTGGTAGAGAGCAAAAGGATCATGATTTTTCAGCACTTGCAAAAATATTTTTTGGATATATAACCACTTAGACCTCGTGCATCACTACAAATACAATAAAAGTCACGAAATTTCTGCGGCAAGTTTTACTCTACAGCAATAGAATGGTTTTGAGTAAGTACCCGAAAAGAAGATTGTGAAATTGAAAAAAATATCTTGCATGCGTGGCACCCTTGCATGTTAGGTATCTGTCATACTGACTTTTATTGTTTTTCACTGTGTATACAAAGGAAAGTTTAGATAGATATGTACTTACAATGTTGCTTTTAAATTTTATTTCATTCTTCTCTTTTGGAAGGGGGGGGGGATTCTTAAATCTTAAAAATTGGGCGCAGGAAGGTTGGTTCGTTTTCTTCCAAACAAATATACTTACCTACTTAATGCCGAAAAAAATTTAAAAATTACCACATTCAGTTACCTCTTTTGCTTTTCTCACTACTTTCTTGTATATAGGTATCGAACCTCAGATTCTAAACCTTTTTGTTGTCAACATGTGACACTAAGTTTTCAGCCAGCTGCATATAAAATTACTTCATTTTATTTCACTTTCCACTAGAAAATAAATCAAAATTTCTTGCAGTCAACGTGTCATTCACTCTACATTAGATGCACTAAGTCAATACCTGTTTCAAAGGGTTCGATTGTTGAGGATAAATATCTCTTAGGTATCAATTTTTTACAATTTCTGTTGCACAGTTACTGAGGAATTGCTCCGAAAACGAGCTGAACACAATGAAAAAGAAATCTGTACACTGGAAGAGGTATCTTTACATCAGGAGAGCATAACTAAAATTGAGCACATTGACAAATGGTGTAGAGAGCTGAAAATTCTTCTCCTACAATCAAATCTCATTTCAAAAATTGGTACGTATGTAACTGCATCATATAAGTACTGCTGATAAAAGTTCATGAAAAGCTTCTTCAGTACAGTTTCCTTAAAATTGTCGTTGGAATAGCCTTTAAATTTCTTCAGATTTTTCTTCATCTCAGATTCACAAAGAATACTCTGCAAATATTTTAGACTTTGATGTGGTTTGCTTTTATGAAGCATCTAGACACGAAAATTTTAAAAAAAGGCAATCAAGATGAAGCTATAAAGGAAGAAGAGAAAGGGAAGAGGAAAGACTACTTTATGGATCAGATACAATATTATTGACTTACCTTGTAAATTAAACTTCATTCATTGAAGGTCAATTTTAATCCTTTGAAAATCCGCCTTAATAGTCTCATTCACTTTCTGCCATTTCCTCAATCATTGCTTAACTAGGAGGTATTAATTTCATATGATCCTATAAAATTTACTTCAATAACCGTTCAAAATATATGGTTTCTAGACATGACATAGTGGCGCATACATTTTACGATGAAAGTATTCTCAATGGTTGTTATGAGACATAAGCTTTAAAAAGATTGAATGTTTAAAATATTATTATTTTTCATTTTTAAAGCACAGAATCTAAAATTGGAAGCATTTTTAAAGTATTTCTAGGATGATTACCAACATGAAACTATTCTTATAAAAATACGACAAATAATAAGTAACTTCTTGATTGCCCCCCTCAATTGATATTTTTAGCTATGGTGGGCGTTTATTATTATATAGAAAATTGAATGGACTAAAGACTGAAATTAAGAGGACAGATAATCCTCTAGAGAGACGCGCATTTTGACAAATAGAAGGTGGATACATTTTAAAAATAAAAGCACCCACTAATTGTAGTGCTCAAATATTCCATTTGCTTATATTGTGTTGTTTTTTGTTACATGCATAGAAAACGTGGGAAGACTGAAGCTCTTGGAGTACCTAAATTTGGCTTTGAATAACATCGAAGTGATTGAAAATTTACAAGGATGTGAAATGCTCCAGAAACTAGACCTGACTTTGAATTTTATTGGAGATATTGAAAGTGTTAGAAGCTTGCAGCACAACGAACATTTGGAATCTCTGTAAGATGTCTTCTCAACTTGTTCAGATTGAGTCTTTTTTTCAATTTCAAAAAAATTTCAAAATTGTCTAAAGTTTAAAGATTTGAAAATTATGCTTTGGTGGAAATATTGTTTGCCAACAAGAGCAAACGTTCGTCTTTCTTCATCAACAACTTACAAAAAATAATTGATGGGAAAATCATAATAACTTGATGAAATTATTCTTAAATTTCAGGTTCATGACAGGTAATCCTTGTGCAGAGTATCCAGGTTATAGAGAGTTTGTCATTGCTACTTTACCACAACTTAAACAACTTGATGGAACTCAAATTTTTAGATCAGAGCGGATAACAGCAGTCCAAAAATTGGATGGCATCATGGAAGGACTGATTTTGCATCAGAAGGCTCATAAAGGTGCATAACTCTTATATTCAGATGTATTTAGTTTTAATTAAATTTTTGACGAAAAAAAACTGATGACATGTCATCTTCACTGATGCAAAAACGATCACTGTGCTGGTGTGTTAAATCAAGGAGTCTTCAAGTTGCCAACCTGATTCACTGCCTAAGATAGCGTAAGAATTTGACTATTCACCATTTGAGACCTCTTACTATATTGTTATTGCTCATTAACTATAGTCCATTTCACGAAACCTGAGATTTTTTATTCGGCATTAAAATCCGTAAATGGCAACGCATCAGTCATCGAATACATTGGGTATACCCTCCTTAAGTTGAAAACTTTGCACTTGAATTGGAAAATTATAAACTTTTCTTTTGGTTTCTTGTTTGAAGCTGCGATACAAACAATTTGCTTACTTATTTGTACTTTATGATTTTTGCACTTTATTTTAATTTTTATTACATTTAAGCTGCATTAAGATAATGGACATAAAATATTAAAAAATAATGAAGGTAGTCTTTATTTATCAAGAAACAATAAGTTAGTAAAAAGTTGCCAATACCTGGAAAACGTGGTGCTTCAAATAGGTGCTCTTTGTTAAGCTATGTATTTTTCTGCTATAGTTATTTGTATCGAAGACTTAAGACGAGTCAAAGAGCCAAAAAATAATAAACAAAAAAAATGACTTCTGCTTATATTTTTTCTTTTGAATGGTTTTGGCTTTTTCCCCATTGTTCAGAATACGTGGAAGTTGCGTCAGATATGTAGGCAGTTGTTTACTTTCAACAGTCACAAGCGGTAGACGGTTTTAGGAAAATCCCTTCAGAGGAGGTTATAGATTTTGGGTATCAAGATACAACAGTGACAAAACAGTCGCTGTCGGTCAATCTTCATTTGCTCTTAGATGGCAACATCATAGTCGCTTGCAAACGGAAAGTAAACAACTGCCACACTATCCGACATTATTAAAGTTGAGGACTGAGGTCATTCACCCATGACTGAAACGCAACCAACACATACAGAGGTACCTAGTTGAGTGCGTAATAATCCCGTATGCTTTGATTACTTTTTTCTTCTTATAAGTTTATTTAAAATTGGCTTGAAAAGTTATCTTGTCATGTTTCTTACAGAGAAGAGAGAGAAACAGAAGCGGGAGCTTATGAGCAACACTCAAACTCATAACGACAACATTGACGAGACAGACCCAGAGGAAAACTCTCGGTTGGTAGTTTGAGTTACAGCTCTCTTTTAATTTGATCTTATTTTTTAAGGGAAATGGATTGAAAAATGAGTGTAAAAGAGGAAATTGGGATTACTACCAAGAAGTGAAATGAAACACTATGCCCTGGTTATAGTTGTGGAGTACCCAACCTACCACAGTTATGGTGTAGTTACAAAGTTTCTCTCTTCAAGATTTATCTCCTCGATTGCAACTTATCTTAGGTAGGCTAGTGGATGGAGGCAAATTTTTCAAAAGATTGATGTTTTGTTGAGTTGAAAAACTAGAATGAAAGTTATCACGTAAAAGATTCTAAAGTAATCACCCTTGAGAGGACTTTGTCTCACCTAATCTCCTCTGATATGGATACGGATACTGCTCCAATACGTAAAGAAAAGGGACATTTTCCAGACCCTTTACTGTTGCTTCTAATTTCAATATGTAAATACATGGAGCCTGAGAGTGTTTATACATTCTTCTCATTCATTAGTCAGTTTCAATCAAAATTATTTTTGGCGACGATCTTAAACTTTTCTTGTTGACAGATTCAAAATAGAAAGGAGACATAAAGAGGGTGGTGAGTTCACTTTTGATGGCATTAGGGGCAGATATAGGTATGAGATTCTTGAGCTGTAGCCCACAGGAATGAATTTCAGAAGTCCGCAAATTATGGAGGCTGCAGGGCACATTTTGACAGTGTTCGTACGTCCTTTTTATTTTGGGCTTCCTAATCTCATTAAGCAGCAAAATAAAATCATTTGTAAAAAAAAAAAAAAAATAACGGCCATCACTTTTAAAACATAAGTGCAGAAGAATTATCAATATTACCCTATGGGCAGCCAAGAAGTAAATATGCCTCTAGACAGCACTGTTGAAATTTCTCTTCTTCTTGTTGCATGAGAAGATTTTGGAATAAAAAAAGTGAGAACACTCCAGAAACAAGAATCGAAATAGCTGAGCACACTCGGAGAGCTCAAAAAGCTAGACAAAGCTCAGAGCCAGAGCCCAAAAAAAGAGTCCTCAAGTTCTTTAAAGCAGATGGAACCCCATATAATATCAATGAAGCTAAAATTCCTTTTCTGTTGGAATCAGACGAGGAGACAAATTCCATCATTCTGAAAGTGGAAGTGTACAAGTGAGTACTACAGGACTACAAGTTATTTAAAATAATGGCGATGACTGATTATTTGGTGAAAAATAATATATGATTGGAAAACAGAATTGTCTCTAACCAAGAGACATATATCCTAGTTCCATCATCAAAGTACTTCTGATGAGCTAGGTATGAAGAAAAATCAGTCACAAAATTTTGCCAAATAGGCAGCTTGTAAAATCTGCATAATTTTGTATTATTTTGGGATAATAATAGAGTGGTAATGAAGAGTACAAGTCTCCTACTCTTAGCTCCTGTTTTAAAATTATTATCTCTTTTTTGACTACTTTCAAAACTCAAAAGATGTGTCAGATACGTTTAGAACGTCACTGAAACAAAAGATAGTCAGGTAATGCAAATTTACAGAGTATATTGTCAAAAAACAATTTACACACAGAATAAATTTTCTCATAGTAATAACAATGTAATTTGATCATTCAAATACTATGATACAACTAAACAAAACAAATTCAAAGAAAATTAGTGACGAACTAGAAAGTCATCGATTTGAACAAACGTAAAAAATGATCTTAACAAGATTAAAAAACAAGTAAGATGAAGAATCATTTGAATTATTTGAAAGGTGAAAAATAATCCAGCTCTTTGACGGAACTGGAACGTCTGGTCATTTTTCAAAATGAATGGCAGGTACATGAGAAACTAATATAAATTTCTTACTTGTTGGAGAATTTTATTTCCTAAAGTTTACAGTGACTCTTAGGGAAAAAATAATGTCAAGGAGATGACAAGGTTTAGTAGGGGACTTCTCAATTAAGAAAGTAAAAAAAGAAAGAGCCTTAAAATTAGGGTCTCTGTCTTTACTTAAGTAGCCTATTAAAAAATGAGTGAGATTCATGATTCAAGTGTTCTTACAGATACTTGGACACTAGCTTAATAGAAATTGATGTGCAACCAAAATATGTAAGACTTACAGTAAAAGGTAAAACGCTTCAGCTGAGTTTGAGTGAGGAGGTGAAAACAGATGATGCTGTTGCTTTGAGATCACAAGTCACTGGTTTCCTCACGATCACAATGCCTAAGGTAAGAGAAAAATGAAACATTTAAATTTAACAAATATATTATAGTGGCAGTAAAGAGTGAGTCATTGTAAAAGAATTTACAATTGTACAGTGCGTCAATAAGTTTTATTGTAAAATTAGAGATTGAGTTAGATATTTGATACTTGCAGAAATCAAACTAAAAAGCGTAAATGACACACAACGCTAATAAATGGTAGATTTTTTACGTAATGTCGATGAAAATTTAACCATCTCACAGAATTAATGAATCAAAAAAGAAAAAAACATGTATTTGATTCTCATGTTTCAGAATTTTGGCTTTTTTAAAATTTTGTTTAAGGAAACGAACCAATATTTCATAGAGAAGGAATTTTGTGACATAGACTTGGAAGGAAGACGAAAAATACTAATGGGATTAAAACAGCATGTTTCTATGAGGCTTAGTGTAAAAAAAACTTCAAAGTAAATTATGGTGCACTAAATATCTTTTCAGAAACTTTAAAGTTTTGGCGGGCAAAAATATGCTTCTGAGAAAGCTCGCATTGTCATTAGCTCGATTTGTTTTAAAAATCCACTTAATTATTTTTTGCTAGAAGCGGCTAATGTTTGTATGAACTATTAACCTGAAACAATTCCTAAATAGAAAAATTATGAAAATGTGACAAAAAACCTTGCTGTTTTCCTGAATTATTAAATAAAGGTGGAATATTGAGGGAAATGGCAGGGTTCAAACCACAACTTTACTTAACAGTATTTGATTTGTGGATGACCACTAAATTCTTGCTTCAAGCAAGGCTAATATGTACTTCAAAGGGAATATAAACTGGTGACAAGTGCCTGTGGGAGAATATGAGTGCCTCTAAAAGGCAGCCACCAAAATGGATAACAGCTAGTTATGGAAGGAAACAACTTGTAACTTTAAAAAAATCAAGATCATCAAATCTGTGTAAGTCCATTCATCCTATTTCAAATGAGGATGAACATCCTACATCGAATGCTAATATCATCAATAGTTTTGACACTATTGACATTTAATCACCATCTGTGGGTACGTAACCTTTCATAACCAAAGACTGTCAATCACTCATCATTTTTGATAATAGTGATGTAAAACTTGACACCATGATATCGCAATAAATTTTGAAAGAATGTTCTGTCGAAAGAGCTTCCAACATTGTTAAGTGTGATTTTTTTGCCTTTGAGCTACCAGCCGTTCAATTTTTCTTCAACCTGTTAACAAATCATATCGAGGTTTTGGCAAAGCTGCAACGCCATAAATTGTTGATTTTTTAAAGTCTGATATACTGTTTGAAAATTAAAGATATTCACTTCTAAGATATTTTTAATTTTTGCCAAAATGCCTTTTGTCAAAAGCTATGGGCTTGGTGGTATTACTTTTAAGCGCACTCCGTGATGAGTAAATTGAGGGATAATTGATTCAAGTAAATTTTGAAAGAATTTAATAATTTTAAGGTTTAATCGTTTAACTTATCATATTTTAAAATTAGATGTCCTGGCTACAAATGAAAATAAAAAAAGGAAGAAAATGAAATAAATAAGGAAAAAAAAATTAGAGAATGTCCTGAATTATCTACTTACATTTTGTGCATTTCCCAAACAGACATTGAGAATGATTCCTCTTGAGATCTCCAGCTCTGAGAAAGATCTCCCATAAAAGCCAATCAGCTCTCTATCACCATGACACTGTTCGAAAGATCGACTTGTCCTTTAAGAGTTTTCCGCTGTAACCTTTTGGCAAAAGTTTCTGCCATAAGCCTATTGGTTCTGTATTCTTCTTTGGTTTTCTGCTCTTTCAACTTCTGCGTGACCTCAAAGCACTTTCGGTACTTCTTCTCTGTCTGCTGTCGTAATTTTTTCTGAGAGAAAATCCGCTTCTCTTTCAGAGACGGAAGCTCATCTTTACTTGGAACTTGAATGGCTCGGTCTACTGAGCCACATGCTAGCACCAACTGTTTTTTCCTCTCATTTTGTAGTTGCCGTAAGCAAGCAAGTTCAGCAATACAGTTTTTACGGAACTCAACTCTTTTGATTATTTCAGGGTGCTTCCTTGCAAGACATTCTTGGAGAGTGGGCTCCGGGGCCTTTGAAGCTGAGTTGTCTGTATTTTTAATGATTTTGGGAGTGGGGGCAAGGAAAGGTGTTCTTGCTGATTTTGGAGGGTCAAACAGAATTGTGTAGCTGATAGGTTTCGAGGGTTTCTTACGAGAATTAGAATGCCTCTTCGCCTTGGGAGGAGTGGAGTAATTTTTCTTCCGATTTTTAATGTAATGCTTGTTGCTACTTTCAGCCCAAGTATCATTTGTCACATCAGAAGTAGCAGAAATGTAATGTGAGTGTTTTGACGATAGATCATTATCTGAATTTTCTTTGGAAGATTGATTGATCAGAGCACCGCCTGACCTTGTCCTTGTTGTATTTGCACTTTTGTGAGTTCTATTCTGTAAATCTTTGTTCTCTTTATCAGATGAACTTCTGGAAAAATTATCTTCTAATTGGCGGGATGCTTTCACATTTTTATCATTACCTTCATAAGAAGTTTGTGCACTACTGGAGGTTCCTGATTTTTTAAGACAGCTGACAGGTTTTAGTTTAGCCTGAGAATCTCCTCGTCCATCCACTTTTATCGTCTTTAAAACTTTAAAACCTTCTTTGAGTTTTTCCTGCTTTTCAATCAAAGCTTTGAGATTGCTCAAGTGATTAATTTCCGATTGAATCCAGAGTAGATGATTTCTCCTCTCGGCATCAAGATAATTATACAGAAGAGCCGATTCCTTTTTGTTTGCCTTTTTATCTGCAAAGATCAACTTTTCTTCATAACGCCGCTCACTATCGCTTGTTGGTTTCCGCCAATCTTGAGGATAAGAAGATTTACAATTTAGGGATCCTTTGGTTGAACTATCATTTGTACTGTTTGGAAAAGGTCTATAAGCATTGCGCCCCAAGTTTACAGTCCTCCCATCAGGTAAACCATCCGAGTTTTCATTCAACAGTCGAGATTCTCCATCATTTTTTTTGTCTACACTTTGGAATCTAGAAAACTTTTTGTACTTAGGAGACCGCATAAATTTGTTCTTAGAGGGCATGTTGCTCAACCACTGATACTCTGAGCTATAAAACACTTGTGGGCAATTCCCTGTTGAAGAGCTGGACTTGGAATATTCACCAGATGAACGACCAGTCTTATCTCGCAATACTTTTAAATCTTCTTGCTCTTTCATCCTTGCTACAGTCCTAGCATGATTTTGATGTTGAGCCTCATTGGTCAACACATATTCATCTTTTGTTTCATCCAGCAAATCAAACGAGCGATTGTTAGAGCAGTAGTTTTCTTGAATGTGCCGGATTCCTGATGATATCTTATTAGGATTGTCAGAGGAAGATTCAACGCTTGTTGTCTTTTTCAGTGGCCGCATCACTAGGTTAAGACAACTGCTTCCAGACGTAGACTCTACGTAACTTTGCGATATTTGTGTGGACCCACTCAATTCACTTGATTTGTTATTTGTTTGCGAGAATTTGAAACCGTCTCTGAGATACACTTCAGAGGGGCCAACTTTTTTGCTCACGGCAGGATGTTCATTCAGAGGAGGTTTCTGGAGGCAGTTGTACTCAGAGTCAATCAATTTTTTAGCAATTTTCTTCATAAGAAGCTGCTTCCTTCGCGAGTCAAAGGTTGTTGAATTGTGTATGAAGTTTTTCAGTAAATTAACTCCGCGATCCAGTTCAAGCTGGAATAAATTCATGCTAGATGGGTTCCACAGTTCATCTCTGCTGCTTTCAGAGAAGTCAATTTTTTCAGAGACTGAACTACTGCTTTCTGTTTTTTTCTGTGCCTGAAAACACTCAGACGAATTTCGCTCGTACATATCTCCAGGCAAGTACTCAAAACTTTTAGCTTTTTCAGCAGACGTTGTTGACTCTTTGGCATTAAAGTCTGCATTCCAAGAATCGTTTGTTTGTACACTCGCAATACTTTCTAAAGTGCTACAGTTCCCATGCGTAGAGCCAGACCCTTTCTTTCTATGACCTTGTGAGCTGTCACCTCTGTTTTTATGATTATTTTTACTACTATTAAAGTTATTACTGATCTCATTTACGCACTGCTGGAGCTCGTCAAGAATGCTCTGTTGAATGGATGTATGAAAGGCTATTTGAGAATTTTGAGTGGTTGCTTTCTGGACATCGGGGGGATTTTCATTCTGAGGGGTTTTGGGCAAGGAATTGATATGAGAACTTTTGCTGCTTGATTGATGCAATTTTTTAGAGGGACTTAATATTTTACGTGGTGATTTAAACTGTTTCCCTTTGGTTTCTGATTTCTCTGAGATCAAACTTGAGGTGGCAAAAAATTTTCTGGATTTCTTTTTTGACCTATCTATAACCGTCGATATTGACGATGAAGAAGCTGAATTTTGAAAATGTCTTTTTAAAGGTTTCAGAAAACGTAGATCTACTGATTGAGTTGCTTGGAGCAAGTTTGAACAGCTAGCACTTTTCTTCAACACCAAAGGATGCTCTAACTGCGCATCATTAGCAATGATTTTATTAGATCTGTTCTCAGACGTACTCTCCTCTTTGGCACTTGAAGCTCTACTTGAGGCTTGAGGCTTTGGAGGTTCAACTTGGGCGTAATTTTCTTTTTTGTCAACTGCTGCATCCTCAATCTTAGGACGATTTTCCTCAGGGCGCGATTCTGTACCATCTATTTCAGGGTGGGGAGTTGAAGGAGAAGGCACCTTGTCACATGGTTGATTCTTGTCCTCCAAACATAAATTGCTAAACTGTGGCTCAATTTGCTTCATTTGATTATTACTGGATTCAACTGGTGAGTTTATCTTGGATACTACGTGGGTGCTTGAGGAAATGATAGGAGAGACACCTTGGAAGTAGAATGGCTTTGAAGTCGAAATTGGTGACATCATATTGCTGCTAATTGTGGTTGATTCCGCGGCTGGGGTGCCAATTAATTTTTCTATTGTAGGATTGATAATTTTAACAGGTTTTGATGCCGTTTCAGTGGTTCCCTCTGGATCAGAACGCGGAAGTAATATGGCAGACCCTTGTGCAAGAGCAATCCTTTCAATGGTACTGAGCCCTGTTTCAACCCCTAGAACAGGAATGACAAGATAATTCAGATCAAGTCAGAAGAAATAGTGTAGTACACTTTTATTGCAAACAGAATGGTTTTGATGAAAAGGCGGATTAATTAGAGATTTCTCTGTTTTGAGATGAGACTATGGATGAGATTGGGTTTTTGACAGGGTTTTTTTTTCTTATTTTTTTCTCTTTTGTTTTCTCAGCTAAAATTAATAAAATGGAAAAAAAGGAAAAAAGATTCATTTTTCATGCACTTCCTAAAAATAAAATTTTAAAAAAATTATGCAATAGTTTCGTTTCCATACATTGACAGTGAAACTACCAAACCATGTATCTTGTTTGCGGTGATAAAAAATCTCTGCTCCTATTTTATTTTTTAAAGGCAAACATATCAAAATCATTCCTCTAAGCATCTTCAGAACTTGCTTCGCCCAGAGAGGAACAATCAAAGAAGCAAAAAAGCTTCGAGTCTTAAAGAATAAGGTGCTGCCAGTTTACTTAGTTCAATTTCGTCCCAGTGGGCAGCGCAAAATTGCATTCTCTACACTTTCAGATTCACAGGAACAGCAGATTAAAAGTTTGAATAATTTTGCCACAAAAACAGGTTGCATTCGCCTGAAAGTTTTAAAACTTATTAACACCTCTTGAGTTTGATATTTCTGGGTACCTCTTGTGCCAAATCCTCCATACAGAGGTACCAGTGTCTCCATTTTGAGTTTTTAGAGACTAGTGTCCCATTCCGCATGACCAGTCACTTTTTTTTACCTACTAGAAACCATGAACTAGTCAAATTTTAAAAATAATTGATCAGTATCACATTAAATCCTTGATTTGATAATGACACTCTCATCAAAAAAGGACTTGAATGCGTAAGTTCAACTAATGATGAAACGTTTATAAATTACAGAAAAAAATCCAAGTAAATAAAATAAATTAAAAGAGTGAGTAGACGATACCTAAAGCTACATATCCAACATCTGCTCCACTATCCCACTCTAAAGGACGAGAGGTAAGGCTTGAAATTGAGGCAGGAGATGGGATTCGATTACCATCCTGTGGTGACAAGGTGACATCAACTGGCAAATCACATTTCATGGGGGTGAAATAGGCTGAGGGCGCAGAGTCAAACTTTAGCTCCAAGCCATCTCTCGGATTTCTGGAGATTTTGAACGAAGTAGAAGGATATGGTGTCTCCTTGGTACGGCTGTTTGGAGCAGGAGAAATTTTGATTATGTCTTCAGGTGAGGTGTCATCGCTAGATTTGACGGACGTGCTGCGGTCTTCACTAGACGAAGATGAGGTGCCAGTTGTCGGAGGTCGGACGAACTGGCTTGGTGAATAATTGGTGGGTGTGCGTGCATCACGACTGGTTTCCTTTTTGGCGGACAATCTTTTTTTATTCTGTTCCATTTTTGAAATCTATTAACACAAAGCCAGAGAGAGAAGTTGGTTACTTTTATAAAAAATACAGGCATTCAATGATAATCATAATTTTCAGTTCCGGGATCATTGTGACTTTTTATGGCTAAACTCAAGGAGATTTCAATGAGTTTTATTCAGCAAAGTTAAGGAATTAAAATGATCTGTTTTCTTCTTTTTTTTCTGTAAAAACCCCCCAAGGGTGTTATTTCACACTTACAGTTAATGTCCTGACTCTCTCGGTCCCTAATTAAGGTGATTCGATGGACGCCATATTATGTGTCAAAACAACAAGCAATACATGACATCGATTGGTTCCATTTTTTCAGCTTCTCATCTATTTTCTTGAATTTTGAGATCTTTCACAGGAGACTAAAGAATTCACTTACCCATTATGACAAACAAATTCAACGTGATATACCTAGGCGTGGTTCTTTTGAAAGGAAGATATCGCATTGGAGTGCAGTTTCGATATAGATATAAATTGCAGTATTTTTCCCCTAAAAAAACCATGCCTTTATTATGTTGAATTTGTTTGTCAAAATTGGTAGGTGAATTCTACAACAAAATTGCGATCTCACAATTAAAAAAAAAAAAATGACAAGTAGCTGAGAAAATAGAACTAGTCGATTGCAATACATTGCATGTCGTTCTGAAACAAAATATGGCGCCCATCGAATCACCTTAAGCCAGCCCCAGGCACTATTGTTTGAGACCATCAAACTTGGGCCACCTAGTCTGGAATCAAACCTGGTGCGTCCCAATCTCATGGCCTGGTTGCACGATCAAATTTCCGATTAAAATGATGACCAAGATGGCGGTCGATAGTTATCAAGATTGATGAGTAAAATTAATTGAGGCAGCGTGTTGATTGAAATAAGCATGAAATAAGCACGAAATAAGCACGGTTGTGTGGAAAACAGATGAAGGATGAGCCCCACAGCTCCATCATCTACCATCAAATTTTTGCAGGCCACAGAAATTTGATGGTAGATGGTGCGCACCAGTCACCATTTGATCGGAAATTGATGGAAATTTAAGCGTGTAACCAGCACAATAGAGCAAGCACTATGACCACTACACCGCAGGAGGCAAACCCATCTTTTCAACAAAAAAAATAAACCCGTTGAAACACTCTCTCACATGTTTCAAGTATTACCTGGTAGTCCTGAGAATAAGTGCTGGCCACTCGTAAAGCTTTGGCTCATAATGTAACAGCACATAGAGGTACTGAAATAAGCATGCATAGTATGAAGGTTCCCCTCATCATTTTACTAACATTGTGTGATACTCTTCCCCGAATGTTACGGTTGGCAGTTGTTTCCTTACTTTGGACTGTCCTGCACAGCTCAGTTTTAGCTGTCTCACCTCAGGTTAAGGGATTGGTCTTCAGTATCTGCGAGCAATGATAATATGTCATCATTGATTCAGTAGGACGATCCTCGGTTTCTGTGTACTGGACAGCAGCAGCGCAATTGCGTGCAAACAGAAAGTACGCAACTGCCAGCTGATCGGACCAAGTTTTCATGCTGAAATTCTAGAATAGTTTAAGCATCTCTTCAGAGTTTCCTATTGAAATTTAATTACATACGTGCAATCAGGGCAATTTTCATACTTATGTCAATATCAAGTCAAATCTGACAGTTGGTTGGAGGCTGATGCAAAACTCCATTAACACCTTAGCCAAAGTAACATAGTTTTAATATAATCTAGCAAGAAACATACTTTCCGATGAATGTAAAAGTTTTATTCAAATTTATAGAATGTTATTGCAAGATTTGATGTTTGAATGGTAAATCTGTGGGGGGTGCTCAAGGGATTTGAAGGCATTGCTTGGGCATGATTACTTACCACCGTTCGTCTTTTGCAGTCTTGATAACGAAGGATGCAACAGAAACTAATGCCATACTAGAATTTTGCGGGAAATTTAGGAGAATTTACAAAAATTTGGGCATAGATAATTTTTAATTTTACGTTCTAACGGATGAAAAGGTAAACAAAGATGTCAACAACAGATAACTGATAAGTAGAGATTGAAGGTTACCAAGTTACGTCATTTTGGCGGGAGATTTTAAAATTGCGGGCATTTTCCCCAACGAGCGCTGAGCTCGCGCTCTGCTCGTGACACGTTCTAAAGTACAATTATTAATATAATTCATTACGCACTTTCAATTTTAGGGCTTCCGCTGTTGAAAAATTAAATAAAATCTGAGCAGAGCGGTGTGTTTTTTGATAACACATCGATAAAACACTGCAACTCTCACAGTGTGGACAACTTAATTTTTTTTACTGCTTACATGTCAGAGCAGTTGTCAATAGGTTGCCAAATTATTTTCAGCCTTTAGCTCTCTCTTGAACACATGGATTGCATTTTGCAAAAAGGAACCACTAGCATTGCAATGATGCTAAGATTGTGCAACTTCATCCTTTGCATTAAAATTGCGGAAATCGTGAAAAATTATGAAATTTAGATGGTAATTTTTGTCTTAAATTCACAGTTTTCAGCGAGTATACTTGGGTTTTTCCTCCCAGACAAAAGAAGTTGCACAATCTTACCAACATTGCAATGCTAGTGGTTCCTTTTTGCAAAATGCAATCCATATATCGACAGTGTAAGTCCGCAACCACTTGTCTTGGTTTGCGACGTTGCGAACTTCCTGTCATGCTCAATTATTTAAGTGGGAAACTACTCAACGACAATTCTTAACAGCTGACCGCGATTTTTCTCTTGGTGCGAAGAATATTAATGTCAAATAATGCCGATTTGTTTTCCTTCAAAAGAATAAAATAGGAGCGGAGATTTTCAAACAACGCAAACGAGATCCGTGGTTGCGGGCTTACACCGTCAATATACTTCAGCAGGGCCGGATTTAGGGGGTGGCCACATGGGCCGCAGCACATGGCGGCAAATTTTGCAATTTTTTTAAATGTAAGTATGAAAAAAAATCGGATTCAGAAAAAAATTACAGATGAGAAAAGGCGACAAAATCTCTCATTTCCTGAGAGTATGGTGTCTTTCGATGATACAAGAGACAGCACATTTAATTAGTCGAGTTAAGAGAGAACTCAAACACGCAATTTGACCTGGAGCGGCGCGGTGCAGAGAGCAATGCTGACGAGACCTAGAGATGAAAAGGAGAGGTCCTCGGTGCGACGGTTGGCATATAACACATATTAGCGCCTACAGGATTGCATGAATACTTCACGCATTGCGTCGAATACGGTGCGGTCAGCGTGAAACGCATAGCGCCTACAAGGCAGCTTCACGCATTGCGTCAAACACAGTGCGGTCAGCGCGGCACGGCGGCGGAAGTTAAAAATGAAACCACACTTATGTTTGTTCTCTCATAATTTTTTCGTGCATTTCTTATAAATGGAAGGCCTTTACCACACAGAGATAGATTTACGGAACTTAAGTTTCGCGCAAAGTTCCTTGAACTTTTGCTAGTAGTGTTGACAGGGCTTTCGCAAAAAATGTGTCCGACACGAGTTAAGACGCCCTATGCACGTCGACTCCGGTACGTCCACTTCAAGGTTTTTATTGATTTTTCAAAACGAATGAGAGAAGGCGGCAAAATACAGGCGGCCCATGGGCGACAAGTATGTAAATCCGGCCCTGTACATCGATTCTAATATCTCTGTGATCGAAAATGTTTAATTTCTCATGTCTGTTTTTTCATGTAAAATTCACATTCCAGGTCAACGGCGAGATTAAGCAGAAGAAAGAAGTACTTCCTTTAAAACCGAAGAAGGTTGAAAATCCAAATCCATCATTTTCGAGGCAAGTATATGGACAACATACTGATTTTATATGATTGTTGTATTTATAGTTGACTCGCTTCATGAAAACAGGACCTTAGCGTCCTATGGGCAAGCAAGAGTAGCAGTTGCTCCAGGCGCCGACAAAACGGGAACGCCAAGAAGACGAAAAGAAAAGGCGGGAGGAACGAAAAAGAAGAGGGAAAACGCGAGGAGAGGGGGGAAGAAAAGCGGAAAAAGGAATTGGAAAGAAGGATGAAACATCGATGGAAAAAACAGGAGATGATAATGAGGGGAGAGGGAGGAGAGAGAATTCATTTTAGAATTCAAAATGAGAAGACTATAATGCCGGCATTGTTCTTTATCATTACTGCAATTATGTTTCCTCCTATAAAATGATTTTATTTTGCAAGGGGTAGGGCGCCATTAGGTGTGGAAAGGTGCCCATGTGTGATAAACGGCGCCTTGAGATACACATATGCAAAAATATTCTTTGCGAAACTTCAAGTAACTAGGGTTCAGGGTCAGTAGATATATGGACTCCTTTTAGGCGTAGTTTATGCTGCGGGCCCCCTAAATCTCCGCACCTCCCTCGTGTTTTACTTTTCTCCCGAATCTAATACGTTACATCTCATTGGCAGCATAGAGCGGAGCATTGCGAGTTTACACCTCGCGCCATCGCGCCTTCAATTTTGCAGATGCAGCACGCGCATCCATCAAGTACGAATAGTTGTTTCTCTGCGCCGTCATCAACGATCGTCAATTCCCTTGCTCTAATTCCAAATTGTGTTTGTTTCCACTTGTCTCATTTGTGGTGGTGTTTTAAGGGCTACGTGAGCAGCACAGTCGGAGATATGAGAGACGTATTCGGACCTCATGTTCTTATTTTTCTGCCGAATCTGCGCGACGCCTCATTGGCAACATAGAGCGGAGCAGTGCGATTTCACGCCTCGCGCCATCGCGCCTTCAATTTTGCAGATGCAGCACGGGCATCCATCGAGTACGAATAGTTGTATCTCTGCGCCGTCATCAAAGCGCGCTCTTACTTGTGCCCTACTCCCATATTGTGTGATAAGGTTTGTTGAAAGTTATTTTAAACCGAGAAAAATGACGGCAGCATTGCAAAGCAGTTTACTGCCCAGAGCGTCAATTCACTCCAATTGGCGAAGAGGGGGAGGGGCACAGCCGAAGAAGCCCACATACGTGGAGAACCACGGTTGCAGTTTTCAAAAGCTCTTAAAGTTTGAATTTGAACAGATTAGATTTGCTTTGAAATTCCACAAACTTTGGGGGAAGGGATCTCTCCTAAACTCCTCACCTCTTATTGGTGGGTCGTCACCAGACCCTCCTTATTGGGAGGGGGGGGGGCAGTTCACGCAATGCACAGCACTCCACGAAACATCAAAGCTACATTGTTACTGTTGAGGGATTTTATTACACTTATTCATATAAAAATCAGGTTATAATAAAACAAGAATCCTGCTTTGATGAATGAAGGGGCAGCAATGGCGGGTACCTAAAGGTATCACGGCTGGAGGGGCTACTTAATTTTCTTATGTGATTATTAGCAAGACAATTGCGTTAAAAGTTGAAAAATCAAATAAAAGCTTCATACACACATGAGTTTCAAACTCCCACATCGAGGCAAATAATAAATTCTTACAATTTTTCTTTTTCTCCTTTTTTTAAACAAAGTCCACCTTCAAAAATAAAACAATACACAACAAAGGTACTCTACGCCAAAGTTCCCTACTTAGTTCCATGCATGCATCATGCGGTGAGGCTCTCCCTTCTTCCGATCATTTTTGTCCATCGAATCCACAAACGCAACTCTTTTCTTTTTTCCGGAGCGGACGTTCCAGTAGCGATGGGCTTTCTCCAGTAGTAGCACTACCGCCGCCATGGTATGACCGCAAAACAAAATGATGAGCAACCCTTTGATCTGGTTTATTTGCAACGCTCGCACGTTCTCCAACTTCAAGCCCGACTTTGGAATCGAGTACTCGAACCAGTAATCCGTAATTCCACTCTCGACCAAACCTGTAGGCGTAAGATAGACGCTGTAAGTGATAAGAATGTCACGGAAAAGCGATATATATATATATATCATGTATCGATGGCTAAAGTCGATAAATGTGTGGTCCTAATGCGGGGTTGCGAATCTCCGCTTATGTTTTACTTTTTTTTTAAAAAAAAAATACCTTCCGAAAGTTTTCCTAAATTAATTATCGATTTTTTTTCCTTATTCAAAAATATTAACTGAAACTGTCGGGAGTGATTTTATTAACGTCAGGAGCATTTGACACAAGCGTTTTGTGATCATGGCATATTTTTTTAATAATCAGGTGATAGGGCAAAATGCCCAGAAATACATGTCCAGAGTAAAAAAATGTCCAATATAAGAGAAGTTCACGAGTAAAAAATGTCCAAGTACCCGGAATGTCCAGTAGCGGTACCACCGCCAAAATTAAAAATGCCCACATGTCCTTTTACTGTGTGTCATAATTAATATTACCATTGATAGAAATTCTTCAATGTTCCTCATCACTGCCGTCTGGATGAGGTAAAAGTAGAAGTTATGGTAAATTAAAGGACGAAGAGAAGTGAAATCTTGAGTGAAAAGTATAAGAAACTACAAAATAACAGAAATTAGGATAGAAAAGGTGGCCTAAAGTGCTAAATGCCTATTTGTACAATTACTAACTATATACATGAGCTTGTCTCACCAAGCCCATTTGTATGTAGGGCAATTTACCGGAAATGATTCGGTTAATGGGAAGTTCAAGGACGGATCCCTTCCTGAACATGAAGGGACTGGAGTGGGCTTGGAGGACGCATTCGGGGATGATATGGAGGATGGCGTTGCGTTTCCTGAGTCGGTTGATCGAGTAGAACTGGATGAAGCGCTTGGCCCCGAATGAAGCCGTCGTCCCCGCCTCGATCATGTCGATGACGTCATCGTAGAACCCCGCGTGGATCACGAATCTAGCCAACAACATATAACATGACACTTTGTAAAGAACACACAAGTTCAGAACTTGATATGGTACAATTTACGACGTACCTACTCTTGGAAAGAATAAATCATTTGTGAAAGTCTATGTGCTTAAACGTAATAACAGAGGCGTGAATTGTTCTCCCTTTCCACAGGGAAAAACCTTCAGTGATTAGTTGCGTCATTGGGGTGGGAGGATGATAACCCTATCCCTCCAGGATAGTAAATTTAACATTTTTTCCCTGACGATTTTCATCAAAAATCCGCAATCATAAGATTTCGTCAATCCGCCTCTTTGATTGTTGCTGCATATCATTCCGCTCTCAGTAAAAGTTCTGCAAAAGTGCCGGAAAAGCAAAAGACCGGAACATATTGGGAATTGCAAAAGTTCCGGGAAAAATTCAGGAAAACCTCAAAAGTTCCAAAATTCGGCACTACAGGGTGTCTACTAAAACAGGCTGGCCAAAAATCAGTACTTTTACAGTACATTCCGGAGAAATTCAGTACCTCCTCAGCGGAAAAATTCAGTACTTTTTCAGTACCTCAATTGACGAAATTCGAAAAATTTAAAAAATTTGAATTTCTCGGTCAAATTGCGAAAAAATGAAAAAAATCCGGACTTTCTTCCGGAATTTCCGCACTTTTTTAGCACTTCCGGACCGCCCTTAAAAAATCAGCACTATTTCCGGACTTTCCGAAAATTCTGGACTTGTAAGGCACCCTGCACTAGTTCCGGGAAATGGGAGCACTGGGTTGAATTTAGAATGACTAACTTCTGGGAGAGTCTCTGAAGGACGGGGTTCTCGGTGGCGGAGCGTTTGAGGATCCTGCCGGCCTGGGGTTGTCCGGTGATGTTGAAGCGACCGTCGAGGATCTGCTGGAGCTCCCGGATCTGGTCCGTGCTCCACGGCACGGTCATGAAGCTACCCAGGGAGCTTTGGTAGGCCGCCGAGATGACGAGGCAGTAGAGAAGCCACTGGAATATCAGGAGCCGCAGCGAGTGGGTCTCCGGCTGAGCCGGCGAGGACACCGCCAAAGAGGTCGCCACCCCGTAGAAAACGATGTCCCGCAACTTCCGAAGCTCGCCTGAGCACCACAGTTAACACAAGTTTATGCAAAATCAGGGGCGTAGCTAGGAAATTTCTCTAGGGGGGGGGGGGGGGG